CTTTTTCAGAGTTTTAGTGGGTTCCATCAAACAATGGCAAATCAATGGCAAGAAACATTTATAAGATTTGAATTTTCAATAATAGCATGTTACAAAAAAACTCGTTTACACTTTAGAAAGGAACTAAGTTTTTTTTTCAAATTTACTAATCCTTATATCTTTCTAACCCAATGGTTTAAACCTTGTATATTTCAATATTAATGGTCTACGACATCGGGTTGCAAAGATATATTAAATGAAAATTAGAGTTTTTGGCATAAGCTCATTTTCTTTAAACTTGAAATGAAAATCCATAAGTCTTTGCTCTTATAATCATCAGTCGAATCTCTTACATTGATATATTAGAGACGTTTTGAAATGTTTTGATTGACAGAATTATTGTTACGCTTTTGAAATTAAAACTCAGCCCTCATAGTCTAACGTTTTATGAACAAAATTTTCATAAGACATATCTAACGTTAGACTAATCAATTCAGTATTCAGAGAAAAGTTATGAAACGTTTTGATTTACAGAATTACATTTTTTTAAATGTTATACGTTACATTATTGAATTTTTCTTTGTAAAAAAAACTTTCGTTTTCCTGATTATAAAATAATAACCCATTTCTGCAACGTTGAATTTTTTATTATACTATAAGGGAAATTGCATTAACTTTTGGGTCAGTAAATAAATTAAAAATCCTACTTTCTTTTTATTTGATGGGCTTCTATGCAAAGGCTTTTTTTACTCTTTTCCCTCAATTGCAAAAAATGAACATTTTTTGTAACAAATTGCCGAGAAACATAGAAATTTGGTAAAAAATCTTTCATAACTTTTGGGCCGCATTCTCCTGATGGATTTAAAAAAATGTTATTTCCAGGAATTGTATTGCTGATCCTTTACTACTGCTATTCTATACCGGCGGAGGAACGGCAGAGTATTCTTAGAACGCGGCGGAGGCGGAGAGGAACTAGGTTAAGGCTGAAAGATCTTCCGCCCTCCTACGAGAGTATTCATTTCTCCGAGCTGCCGCCACATTATGAGGTATTATTTTAGACACTAATTTTAGCCCCTTTTTAAAAACCCTTTAATTATATTTTTCGTGAACAATTAAAGAGACTGCAGTCTGCACGCACCTCTGCCCCTTTAGTAAAAGTAAATTGAACCTATATGAAGCATAAAGTCTGACTGCGTCAACCTTGTTGCACCAGCTAGTCCTGTCCAAAGAGTCAGGTACAGTACAAACTGGAACCGGAAAGGTTTACCCGGCTAGGAAATTCCAAAATGTACTAACTACGGCTGTCCGTGACTGTAAACGATACTTAACGGAGCCTCCATTTTTAGATTGGTTTGTCGGATTCACAATGTTACCTTTTATCTGAGTAACGATAAGAAGACTACGTCTTGTTCCTTGAAAATAGATAAATTCTATCAATTTCGTTCCTTGTCTCTGCTGTATATATCATTGAAAATGATTAAATTTCAGTTGAAAAACAAACAAAAATATCCCTTTTCATTGTTACTCAGGCAAAAGATTAGAGGGTACCGTTGTGAATCGGGTATGTATAATGTAACTCATATAATGTATTTACAGGGTGTCCTAGGAAAAAAGTGCATGATTGATGGGTTTTTGGAGCCTTTTTCGGAGATTAAATCTCAGATTTGGGTAGCATAATAGTTTGAATTTTGGGAGGGGTCCTTTTTTCCCGAATTTTTTTATCCCAGCCTTTTTTGATATTAAGAGGAATAAAATCTAAGAATTATAATGATATCTCATTTTAAGGCAGCCATTGGCAAAATAATCTTCAAAATTATTTTCTCGAAAACTTTACCTTTTATCTTGGCTATTTGATTTACCATGGAACTTCTGTATCAGTGTCCGGAATTTTAGAGGAATTTAAATTGGTTTTCTTATTCCTGTGATACTGATTTTCGCCATTCTTTCTTTCTTTTAATTCTGCAGGGGGGCGGCGCCCCCCCCTCTCAGGTGCTAGGGGAGGGCGCGCGCCCGGCCGCCCCCCCCTAGTTGCGCCTCTGTCTATAATTGCGCCTTTTAAATCATTTTGTTTTAAAGACTTATTTGGTCTATAAAACTAAAACTGGATTTAGATACAAAAGTCTTGTGGGAAAATACTACTTCTGAATTAAAAGAATCCATGAAAAGGCCCGGAAATTTGTATCCTAATCCTACAGAGGAGCGATGAAGGAAACTAGCTGGTTCATTGACAATGATAATATAAGAAATTACATAAAAATTAATAAAACTTAATAATTTCTAAAAGGGAGAGAGCGGCTAGGTAACATATTTTAACTAAGAATGCATATTGTCGAGAACAAATTTAGGATTAATTTGATAACAATGGGACGTTTTCAGGGTGTGTAATTTCTAAGTAAAATTGTTGGTAAAAATTCACTAGAAGAGGGAAGAAACGGTTTTTTTACATTTATCCAGGAAGAAAAATATTATATAAATTCTATAGTAAACTAATTTGTTGTTAAGGAAAATATTTTTCAAAAGTAATTTGTGAGGAAATCAAATGTAGAATCAATTGCTTTATCATTATTATATTGAATTCTTAAATCTTTATTATTTGTAAATTTGCTCGCAGATTCCTTCAAATGTCGTCTTTTTAATTAACATTCCAGGAAATCTACGGAAAACGTGTGTGAACAATCAAACATTACAGTAACCAATAAATTAATTTCGATATTATAAGAGTTAATTTTATTTTCTCGTCCTGTTTTCTAAATATTTCATATCTTTCCTGTCTCTCCCTGTAAATGGATAAAAAGACTCGAAAATTCGTATACTAGTTCCTTATTCTTTGTAACACATTGTAGAGAAGCAATGCATGAATTTCAGGTTCTTTGAAAATGATAATATAAAAAATTAATATTTCTAAAATAGATTATCAAGTACAATAGATGGCAACGTAGAATTTGTGCACTCTCAGTAAAGCTGTATTCTTACGTTACAAGTGTCACTAGTGTTATGTGTCCGACAAAATTATTAATAATAGTGATAATAAAGTGCATATCTTAAAGGGAAATAAGTTCAATTTTGTGTGCTTTATTTTCTGTTTTTACACTTCTTTATCTAATCTTGGAAAACATGTCAACTAATGTGAGAAAATTTCGTTTTCCTTGTTTTATTGTACACTTGTGACGTCATGTATAATTGGTCCATTTCTCTGATGCCACCTGTTGTACTTGATAATCTATTTAATATTTTATTAACAAAGTTTCTGTGCAAACTTTATTTCTGGATTTTGATACTTTTTTTTTACTTTATTACCCTTAATGTTCCATTAGTAATTACGATGTGTACTTCTAAATTTAGTTCTGGAAGGGGGTGAAGTTTTTTATGGTCGTTGGAATTACTGTTGAAATTTTACTTATTGTGTCATTTACATAGGAAATTTGTTTAAATATTTGATCTTACTTTTTGATCATACTTATTTGTATGAAGTGTTTTAACGCTGTTTAAGCTTCTTTATCAACAGTTTTTGGTCGTCTTTTAACTTACTAATAAATCTATATTCTCATCTTTAAAACTGGGTTCGTTATAGATAACATATAATACCCCATAGTTTTTTCTATATAGACTGAAGAAAGAGATAGATAGAAATCAAGGAAAGTCTAATTGTCTGGTTTTATGAATGATGTGAAGAAACTAATTTATTAATGAACCACCAGCAAGAAAATTGAAAGTATCTCTGATAAATGAAAATGCATTAATGCCCTTTAAATTAGAGAAGGATCACATTATCTTCATCTCCTATATTTTCTTGACGCCAGATAGTATTTGTTTATTTACTGTCCAGTTGATGGGAACAAAACTTTTAAATTGAGTAAATTGAGGTTGAGTAAAAAAGTGTGATTTGCGACGCCTGGTGCAAAATTGTTCACTTTTTTGTTCAATTCTCCTGTATACTTTTTGAATATTTTTTGTTTTGGTTCTTTAATGGCCCCCAAGAAAAAAATCTGCGAATCTTTTTTTCTCTCAAAATCAAAAGTTCAGAACAACAAAATTGTGTAAATATATTGTTTCTATCGAAATCTAAAATTTTAAAAAGATTGATTACAGAATATTAGAAAATTAGCAAAATTGTATTTGAAAATTTGCAATTTTCAGTTCTGGTCTAATTTTTACGGAAAATTTTTTTTTCAGTGGTTCTTAAGGTTAATACTAGAATACACTGAGAAGAAAGGAACTAGAGAATTTAAATAACTTTTCCTTAAAAATTAGACCAGAACTCAAAATTGCAAATTTTCTTATTACAATTTTGCACTAGGCGCCGCAAATCATACTTTTTTTTACTCACCCTGTATGTTAACCTCTCAACCTTTTATAGAGTCTGAACCTTTCATTGATACAATCTTTTCATTGATACAATCCTTTCATTTCATCAACTTTTCCTTAACACTTGATCATTGTAAATATTAGGAAATATATCTAGCTATTGTAATGATGTTTTGATTTTGGTTGATCTTTTACGATCAGCGGTTCATGGGATCTTAAGATCGCTGCGATCATAGTTATCTAGGGGTATCATGCCCCCCCTCCAGCCCTGGTTCAGACATTAGAATTATAACGGTTTTTGTTGTGTTTACGTGATAATTCGAACAAGCAAAACAAAATTTAAATATAACCCAAGCCACGCCGACCATTATTTTGGAAGGCGGGGTGCAGGAGAGTCGGCCTGATAAGCCGGGGTAGCTAGGGTTAAGACCCAGGCTAGGGTGGAGAAAAGGTTCCCGGAGAGGAGGCAGTTCGGAACGAACCCTTTCGATGAGAAGACGGGGAATTTTCTGAGTATTATCACACTGTCAACAATTATCTCAATTTTTTATCTTCTCCATGTTTGTATAAAGTATAATAAATTATGAAACCGTATCGTGGAATATTGGGTGTTTGAGTTGTTGTTGAATTCTTTTTTTTTATCATATTCTAGACTATATCTGTTAAGCTGAGTATAAAGTAAAAGTAAGGTAAAAAATTATTTATTAATGAAATATAACAAAAATATACAAAATTAAGTGTTTCAGGAAAAAAAATTTAAAAACCCCTAAAAGTAGAGGCTGCGGGAATATTTTTCCCCAATTCTAAAAAATATAATGATAGAAATAAGAGGAAAAGGAAAGGAAAGGAAGGGATAAGGAAAGTTACATATTTATTGTTTACACTATGTTTAATATAAATTGGTGGTGGATTGTTAGTAATTTTCGACGATGAACTGACAACTTTTAGAAATAAAAATGATAGATGTATTTGTAATGTTTAAAAAAAGTAAAAAAAAAGCTTTATGGAGTGTTAAAGAGATATAGGTCCTATGAAAAACGGGCATTTGTAAGCATCTTTTTAATTCGCGCCGTTTTTTGACATCCTTTATGTTTGATTATATGATTATATCTTTTACTCTTTTAATCTTTTTATTCTTTTCTTTGTAAAGTCGTATAGCTAGATATAACTGGATAAATCTGGATTAAAACTTAATTTAAATTTAAATAAAACTAGGAATAACTTGATATAACTGGACATATCAAGATATATCTGTATATAATTGGATATAACTCAGAATATATCCAGAATATTCTAGATAGGGTTGGACAAATCTGGAGTTCTGAATATATTTGGAATATTCTGGAATCTAGTCGAAATTCAGTTAAAAATTGAAAAAAATTAGTTAATTAGATTTTTCTTTCAAATAACAATAACGAATTTTAATTTACAATATAAAAATTCTATTTTTCTTATTTTTTTAGGACGTTCTACTCCTACAAGAAGAAACAATAGCCAGTAGAGTCTAATAACATATTGGATGAAAATCAGACTAAACAAATATCTGGGATCATAGAGTGAAAATCAGACTAGTCAGCTATCTGGGGGTTTAGGGGGAAAACGAGGAAATCTGTGAGATGATGAACTTTGCTTAAACTAAAAATGAAGACTGGACGAAGCAGCTTTGGACGATCTAGATCCACGCGGCTGATTTCAAACCTAAGTAAAATGTGGCCGAAACACCCGACCGGAAATTGGCCGAAACCACCGATCGTAATAGAACTAGAGAATTGTACCTGAAACCGACATTCTTAATTTGAATGTTTTGTTACAACTATTTCCTTGTATTCATTAAACTGACTTTTCTTAAGTTTATTTTATTAAGCTTAGAGAAATTTTCGTTGATTATCTATTGTAATAAATGTTAATGGTTATCCAACTTATTTATTCTTTAATTTTATTATGAAAATATTAAGGATTTTACAACACAGCTTAGGCAATAAAACCAACGAATTCTGAACTCTAGCAGCTGGACGGATTATAGCCTTTCCTGGGAAGATCACCATACTAAATCACAGAATCATTTACAAAGACTATATCAAAATTGTTCCTGAATTTCCATGTTTAATGGGACACCCTGTATCAGAACGCAAAAAGCAAAATTCTATAGTGCTATTGAATTTGACACGATCAGCTGGGCGTATACAGGATTTTTCCAGGGCTGGAAACTCAACTATATTGTGAATATCATGTTCAATGTTTAATCTCCATTTTTGTTAATATGTAGATTTATTTGATTTATTCTACCCTGATGACAAATTCAAAGAATTTGAGTCGCGGCTCAAATCCGCCAAAAAACAAGTTTCAATGGAGCGTCGGCTTAAATTTTGAAATATTAAATACAATTTTCAGTGGAACCAACCATATTTGAACCGTGGCTCAAATTCTTAAAATTCGACCTCTGAAAGAATTACTCAAATGAAGAGATTAATCAACAAATTCTCAAATTTAAAGTCCCTACTCTATATATCAAGATCATGATTATGAATATATCCAACATAAAAGTTCCCAATATAGGGGGGCTTACATTTTTTACTTTCCATGAAAACATCCTAAGAACTAGATTTCACTGATCCGGAAGGGGGGGGGAGGTCTCATAGTCCTCCCCATGTATACGCCTCTGGACACTATGTAAATTTTTAATTGTTTCTTATTTTTCGCGCTTAAAGGCGTGGTGAACTCGTTTACGGTTATTTAACTTTCAGTATTATGAATATTTACAGAGTTCTCAGATTTAGAATATTGTACACTGAATAGCTATATTCTCTTAGTATTGAATATTTACAGTGTTCTCAGCTTTTGACTAGATACTCTGTATACATTTATTCTCTTAGTATTGAATATTTACAGTGTTCTCAGCTTTTGACTAGATACTCTTTATACATTTATTCTCTTAGTATTGAATATCTACAGTGTTCTCAGCTTTTGACTAGATACTCTGTATACATTTATTCTCTTAGTATTAAATATTTACAGTGTTCTCAGCTTTTGACTAGATAATCTGTATACATTTATTCTCTTAGTATTAAATATTTACAGTGTTCTCAGCTTTTGACTAGATACTCTGTATACATTTATTCTCTTAGTATTAAATATTTACAGTGTTCTCAGCTTTACACTGGATACTCTGTATACATTTATTCTCTTGTATTGAATATTTAGTGTCCTCGGCTTCTGATGGTTTGAGGTGTATTTTACTCCGGTAAAGAGAATATTACGGCAGTTGAGTGGTATACCTGGAGCTAAACTACGGACGGAGGATATGTCGAGGTTTTTACTAAACCAGATGATTCATAATTATATTTGCTAAAATGTATACATGTCTTAGGATTTGCAGAAATGGACAGTTTGCAACAACAAAACAAGAAATTGTGCCAAAGTTTTCTTTTTGAATGTTAATTAAACAAAAAGCAAAGATGAGGATTATGAACTGAAAAAAACTAAAATAATCTTAGCGCAAAAATTGAGTCAATAAATTATTTTGCACAGCATTAATTGCAAACAAATTATAACGTACAATGTACACGTTATTTTCCAATATTGCAAATATTTGAATAATTTATCAAATTTTCTGGAAGCATAATATGCTGGTTTTGTCTAGTACAGAGGGCCAACATGAACATGGAAATGAAGAGACTACTTTTTGTTTTAAATTTCCGATATTAGATGAGTAGCCTACTTAATGTATCCACAAACGATTTTATTCAAGTACAGGGTGTCCCACGAAACATGACAGTATGCAGGACGACTTGAATGTCGTCTTGATTTTTGATATAATTTGCTGCGTTTATTTGTCAACCTAATTTTAGTAGTAGATTTCTAGAGATAATAATCACAAAATTTCCCTTGTCCTGCCATTTCCAAAATGTGGTCTGCCTTTTTTGTGCTTTCAATATTGCCCGAGATATGAAGAATTTCGTTCAGATTTCGACAATTTTGCTTTTATTTGACAAAATTGAAATCTGAACCATACTCTTTATATCTCCGGTAATATTGAAAGCAAAAAAAACGCAGACCACTTTTTGGAAATGGCAGGGCTAGGACAATTATGTGATAATTGTTTCAAGAATCATACATGTTAAAGTAGATAGAAGACTAAATGTCACAATTAAATTCAAATACCAAAGACGACTTTCAAGTCTCTTGCTATTGTCATGTTTCGTGGGACACCCTGTATGTTGTAGACATTCCTAAATAAGATATATTTTTGTTTATCTGCATATACTATTAGGTAATGTTACTTCTGTCCTACGTTACTTCCGTTCTACGTTATTTCCGTCCTACGATACTTCGGACCTCGACAGCTGTACATTCTATTTTGTTAATCCTGCCTACGCAGGAACTGCAGATCTCGGGGCCGAGCGCGGCAGTGGACACATTTATGACATTGACAAAGTGTTTGCAGATATGTTGGGTTAGATTAAGTTAAAACAATTTCTGGACCGAGCACTGCGGCTGGGACAGGCTAGGGGGCCGAGCGCTGCGGCCACATATCTTACATTTAAGATCCATGTACAAAATTGATAGGGGGAGGGGGGTTCAAAAACCGTTATCTAGGAATATNTAATACTGTGCATCCGACCTACTAATACTGTGCATCCGATCTAACAAAAGTTGTACAACTTACCTGAAAAAGCATCTTACCTAAACAATCAACATCAAAAAGTATCCGACCTACAAAAGGGTGCATCCAAGTTCTACAGAAGTGTGGAACTGGCCTACAACATTAGGTCGGATACACTATACTTATATTTCCTTGGAGTGTCTATCCGACATTATACAGTTCATCGGACCAACGGCAACACCAGAGCTGCTGCGAGTAGGTCTGCACAGTATATCGTAGGACGGTTTTAACGTTGGGCGGATGTAATACAATCGAATTTTCGACGAAATTGCGATTTAAAATAAAAATTGAAATCTGGAAAACATCTTAACTCCTTTAAGTCCGTTTTGAAGGTAAAGAAATCTGACAGACCACTTTTAAGAAAGACTAAAAGTTTTTGCAAAACTATTCAAAATACAACTATACAAATATTCAAGAAAATTTTTTTGTAGATTAAATCTTTCTAGGGGTAATAATTTTAAAAGCCATTTTATGTATTTTTTACATTTAGTTTTTCATTCAAGATTTAAGTGTTCATCCACATGTAAAGATTACATATTTCAGACGTCACAGTACCTAAAAAAATCTAAGTAAAACCTAATGAACACGCCTCGTTTAAAGATATGAAGAAGCTTTCTTTAACTATTATTCTCACACAATTCACGCATGGTTAATTAATATTTGAATTGCAAAAAGTTTGCCAATATTTTCAAGGATTTTGCCAAAACAATTCAATTTTTCTTGCAAAAACATCAACATTTTATGTGAATAGAAAACGTTCACAAAAAGAAGTAAAAACCGTGGGAAAAAGTTGGTTTGACAAAATTTCAAAACGGCTGAACCGATTGTGCAAAATCGGCTAATCATTTGAAATTTTGAAAATGTTTGACCGGATTTAAACTGATAAAGCCGGGAGAATTGAGTTTTACAATAACGAAAAAACATGGCGCTACAGAGTAACTTTACAGCGATAAATTTGTTAAATGAAAAGGGCCGCAAATCGCCAAGTTAAGTAAACATATATAATAAACTATATATATATATATATATAATAAATAAACTAGCTGAAGGGCCCGGCGTTGCCCGTGAAAACAAAAAATTTGAAAAAAAAATAATTTTAATAAAAAATTTCAGTCCAATCGGTCCAGTCCAGTCCAGTCGTTTGGCCAGCTATACGCAACATATATATACGAATGTATTGTTTTATTATAAAGATATCAAATCAATATCAATCATCTGTTTAAACAATTTAAAAACGGTGCCATTTTGCCCGGGAAGAATTTAATTTTAAATAAGTTTGCAAGTTATAAAATTATTTCAAATATGTACCTTATAATCCGTTCAAACCTATCTTTAAAAGTTCTATTGGAGCAGTTCTAGAAGATGTTTAGAGTTTAATTAAAAAACTGATTTTAATAAATATTAGTTAAGGACTTCGTTAGCAACTTTTATTTTGAAAATTTCGTGAAGATTTTTTGTAGCTATTTTTGTAAGTGTTCATTTTAATTTTTAATATTTGCTTTACATTTCTATAAGGTTTCCTCCTCTCCTCCTCCTTCTTGAAATCGTGATGCATGAACTACTTTACAAATTTTCAATGGGGGCTATTCAACCCCCCCCCCCCCTCCAATAAATCTAGCATTGAAAAAATTATTGGTTATGATGAAAATTTTCTATTTCTAATTATATATCTTTATAATTTTGAAGACACAAAGAAAGGAGTGAGAGGCTTTAATAAATCAAATCTTTTTTAATAAGACATTTAGAAAATTTTCTATGACCTTGGTAAATTGTTAAAAGACTTTTTTGCTCTAAACATTTTTTATTTAAAAGGGTTTTTAACGACCTGAAAACTGGAAAAAATTCCAAACAGATTTTTAATTAAAAACTATTTGAAGAGTTCAGTGTTACCCGAAAGGATGAGACTTGGGTGGTTTGTTCAGATGACAATGTTTAAAGACAAATTTTATCAAAGAACGCGGGATTCCCCAATTCAACCCTCATAAAGACGATTGTTAGACTCAAATTATGACTTTAAATAGTCCAATGAACATTAGAAACACATAAACTGTTCAGTGTAAACAGACCCATTTCCCTTAATACGTGATTAGTTTTAACAACATTAAATCCACGTATATAAGAACTGTAATTGCGTAATTTCATTTAAAGATGACAATAAAATTCTTCTCTTTGTGAATGTTCAGCGGCAATAATCACTTAGTAATTTTCAAAGCGCGCATTACGCAAATTCTGTCTTTTTATTCATAAATACGGGA